ATCTATTACACACCGAACAGCTGCACCAGCTCCGGAGGCGGAATTACTTATTATGTTAATAAATTGTTTTTCTCTTTTTTTGTTAACTTTTGATTTCTTGTTGCTTTTTTTGACTGGTTTTTCTGGCTCGCGAAAGATTTGCATAGATTTGCAGTTGCGCTCTGTGGGCCAGTGGCCGTTGGCCATTTCCTTATTTAACAGTGGCAAAGCCTGAAGAGACAATCAATTGACCAAAGCCACAGCTTGATTAAGTGCAAGCACCTGTTCAACTGCCACGCCTCCATGCAAGCGACTCAATTGGGCACAGCATTCAACGGTGCGTGACAATTTTGCCAAGCTAACCGCATAATCCGAGATGCTCACAAACAAAAACCAACAAAACAAGCAAACGAAAACATCAACAAAACAAAATTTAGTTTGAAAGACGCGCCACACCACAAGAGTTCAAATGCTTTTGCCATTGACCTCTTTTCTGGCCGCTACGTGTCGAGCGAGGGAGGCGGAGAGTGCGGCTGTCTTGGCAGCTGCAGCTAACAATTCAATTGCCATGATGATTATCACTTTCAAATCAAATCAACGAGCGGGCTTTTACTTGCCTCAATGTCATGAAAGGGAAACCGATTGAAAGGGCCGAGACTGCAGTTAACTTGCTGCAAACCCATTTGGCCTAACAGGTTTCTCTCGGCTCACTAATTGCGAGGCAAGCAGTTAAGTACAAGGCATTACAATTAAACGCCAAATCAGATTGAGCAAATGGTAATACTTGGTGCAGCTCTATTTACAAATGTTGATGATCTTAAAATAATATTATTATAAAATTTCACAATTGATTTACTTGATTTTACAACTCAATATACTTATGTTATATAGGAACAAATTGGCATGTCTATAATAAAAGTAATATTAATAACATATAAGCAATAATATTTTATATGTGTTATAAATTGTCATCTATTTTTATAGCTTCTAGATTGCTGAATATTTCCACCTTGAATGGAGGAACAACAAACATAAATCTATGCTAGCAGTTTTTTAAAAATATTTGTGGTTATATTTAATATTAAAACAAAAATATATAGATCTTTCTAGAAAAATTATAGGTATAGACCTATGAGTAAAATTTATATTCGCTGTTCGAAAGGATGAACATCAAAATTCGTTGGAGTTGAAACAATCCTATGAATATGTCATGACTGAACCCATTCACAATGGGATATCAACGAAGAAGCATATCTGATCGCCTATAAAAACATATAAATATACTTAAATGTTTATTATTATATCTATATATTTTGCTAACTATGTATATACAAATATAGATGAATAAATATCCCTCTATCATGACTATCAAAATAAATCGTATAGCTTTTTATCTATTTAAAGGTATTTTGTCTTCTTTTTGTGCAGACTATTTATTTTTATGCATTTCATGATTATGCGGCATATGTAAAAGTGGTCTCGATTTTTCCCATTACTTGCCAAAAATTAAAAATAAAAGCTGCCAAACACACAATGCATACCAAGTCAAGACGCAGTCACAGTTACTTGGGCACTCTGCCAGACAGTTAACTTGGCTAACTAACCGCAACAACTGAACTGAACGCCGAACGACCTTGACCAGAAACGCAATGAACCCTCAACGCGTCGCGTCGGGCGACCATTACAAAAAAAAGAGGAAGAGGATCAAACAAAAGAAAAAAAGAAAACTAAAAACATGGGAACTACCAAAAAAAATAAACTGGAACCGTTACAGCTTAAAGAAATGAGTATTGTTCATGTCACATAAAATGTCATAACTGTCAGGTTTGCGACTCGGGCTCAGCCTCGTGCGAGAGATGAGCTGCCTGCAATTGGTACGATATGGAAATGGAATGTCAAATGGCGACCAAACACTTGCCAAAAGACAATTAATTGTTACACAAATCAGCGTTGAAAATAAATTGGAAAATGCTAATGTGATTTGTGAAGATGCCGACAATAAATATAAAAAACACCTATATGTATATATATATATATATATATGATTAATCGACACCTGTCTCGCATTTGAGTCTATTGTTGACAATAAAGATATATAAACTAAACGAATCGGCATACAAGCATTCGTAATAATTTATGTAAAGCCGCCTATAAAGGCGTAAGTGCATAAAGATATAAGACAAGGTCAGGTCGCGTGACGCTTTCAAATCTGACAAAGATCAAAAATAATATTTGTGAAAATAAAAGATGTATCGATATAGATAAATTTATATATGTAGTATATACATACAGATATATATATCTACTTATGTGTAATACATATATGTGTATATGTATTTATATCTAAAGCTTGTAATTAATTCAAGGAAGCGTGTGTAATTGTAATGTTGGAATTAAGACAATGACGCTTATAAGCACTCGCTGCTGTCTATCAATAGGCAGACAAACAAACACTTGGCGCCCCCATGCGAGCCTATGACATAAGATGCGGCACGTCTAACGGCAGCCTCCAATTGCTCTCTCACCGACTGACTCTTTCTCTATCTCTCTCTTTCTTTCTTTCTTTCACTCTCAACATCGCTCACCTAATGTGCCTCTCTCTCTCTGCCTCTCCTACTCTCTCTCTTTAGTTGCGACTTGTTGCAGGCATATCGAACTACAATATGTGGTCAAGACATGCAAGCAATGCGACTGAAACTAAATCGAAAGTTGCATGCAACAAGCAGCCATATGCATATGTTTGCATGACGAGCAGATACCCTGCAAGCCAAAGACTAGAAACAGCAGAGATTAGTTAAATAAACTTTTGGTTATATATTACATACGATTCTTATACAGCATACCAAAATAATAAACAAAACATTAATTTTACATTTATAAGAGGCTTTTATCGATAACATATATAATGTAAATTTCTTTAAAATATTTTACAACTAGATTGATATTATAGATTTTGTGCCACAACAAAAATTAAATATCTGATAACAGTTCAATATATAATTTTCGTATACAATCAGAAATATAAAAATTTACCTCACTCTCAGCTTTTTTACTCTCCCACCAACACAAAATATACACCCCATACGACAACATTTTAATGGGTATCTGAGCCGATCCTCTCGTAACAGCTGTGCCACTCGCACGGCGCGCCTCTCTCTCCGCTTCTCAGACATGCCGCACAGCACAGCACGGCATGTGAGACCCATTGACATAATAACGAGGAAGGTAGCCAAAGTAAGACTTTAAACTCTGTCGGCGACACACAACTGGGGCGTCAATTACAGCGACCCACAATCTGAAATTGAAACGAGTTGCGCATGTGTTGGCCCAAACATGTTGTCAGTGGGTTAGGTTATGGTTGCTGACCACACACTCATACATTCGCATATGTGACACAACAGAAACACACTCAAATGACCGAGTGACACACTCTTCCACTCTCGCTCTCGCTCTCACTCTCGCTCTCGGTCTCGCTCTCATTTAGGTGGGCAAACGCTTTCTCATAATTTTTGGCCAGCTGGTCAAGTGAAGGTGGCTTGCAAATGCGAAAGTAAAAGGATTGCAACATTAAACACAATTGAAATTGCAATTGAAATTGAATTTGGAGTTCGATTTCGATTTTGGGCCCAGATGACAGATGACAGGCTGCATTCGTGATGCATCAGTAGCTTGGGCGCGCCAAAAAAAATAAATAAAAAAAATAAAAAAGAACTGATAGAGTTGAGCTCGACACAAACTACAGTGAAGCCCCAAAATATATTAAAGCACACATATATATTTCTCCATTGGATATCATTTTACGCTGATTTCGATTTCTTTTGATATATTTCAAGTTATTTCTAACTCTATTGGAATACCTTCCATACATAAGCTCCTGATGTAAATTTTTTTATTCAACAAAGCCCGCTTTATTGATATTTAAAAAGACTTTCGTTGTTTTATTACTATTAAAGCTCCTGTTAAAAAAGAAAATTAATAAAGAAACAAAAACATAAGCGATAACAAATACATATATACATATTGCAGATTTTCAACTCCTGCTAGCTATACACATGTAACTCTACTTTGATGCTTCGGACTTCATAATGCTAAAAAGTATTCTTAGTTATGTTTAATATATATGATAAATATACAAAAATACTTGTTGAATTAATATTTGCCCTTGCTTGCATTTTGTTAATTTTCGATTAGAAAATGTGATATACAATATATCACAGATTTTCATCTCTTGCTGACGAAAAATATTCATAAAGTATCTCTAGATATATTCACATTCAAAAAACCCTTTGCTTTTTCATCTTTTCCAATGCATGAATTTTATTAACTTGTCCTCGGGCATTATATGATCTAATTTATGCAGAGATCTTAGACAAATATAATAGCTATCTATATATGCATATATAGTATGCAATACTTCAAAGCTAAATTCATTATGCAAATATATTCAAGAGATAATACATAGAATTATAATTCATATAGGAAAAGTAGGTCAGAAGAAAGACAATTCTCTAATGACTGACAGCAAAATTAATTTCTATAATTTTAAAGACAAATTATCTATATGCAATCTACATTTTTAGAGCACTAAAATCCACTTTCCATTTCTAATAAAAAAAAACTTTTAACAATTCTAACTTAACAATATTATTATATATTTTTAGTTTAATTATCATAACATTTTCTGCTATTTTTGTAGTTTCCTCGCATTGCGGGTCTTATTCAATTGGCCACAAATAAATGTGAGTTTTTATTGTTGTAAACGACTTGAGAAACTACCAAAGCAGCAGCAACAACAACAACAACAGCAACAGCAAGTAGCAGCTGTCGGTAGTCGAATTAAACAGCAAAATGGCACGCATCCATAGAGCTAACTGTGCCCGCGTCCACCTCCTCTACCACCTCCTGCTTCTCCTTCCCCTTTAAACCAGCCTCTCTCACCTTGCCGCCAAGTCTCTGATTGCAACTGCTGCATTTCAGCGCCGCTTGCCACTTGGCTGCTTCGAGTTCGCGCCTCCGAAAAAAGCAAAACACAACAAAAAATACAAAAATAAAAAATAAAGAGAAAAAAATAAACCAAACAAGCAACTCAACTCGACTCTAGCCGAACGAACCATTCACCATTCGCTGCATGTGTTTTGGGGCGATTGCGATTATGATTATGCTATAGTATATAGTATTATTGTTGCGGTTGCTGCTGCTGTTGTTGTTGCTGCTGTTGCTAGACTTCGGGCTTACAGTGTTCGTCGTCGTTGTCTTCGTTTCATTCATTCGGTTTGCCTTTTTGACTGTTAGTTAGAGTATAAAAGTTCGGGCTGGCACTGCAGTGGGCATCATTAAACCGTTAACCATCGAACAGTGTGGAGTGGTACGGAACGTGTAACAGAGTTTGGTGCATAGAGAGAATCCTTCCATAATATTCCACAAATAATTAACGAAATCTTAATCGCAATACGATTTCAATCGTTCGGGCACAGTTCGGTTCACAGTTCGACGGATAAGCAATAATCCTCGACAAGGATATTTAACGTCAACATCATGAAGTTGATGGTAGGTACAAAAGGATCAGCGTGTGCAGTGTTGTGAAGTGTTTCAAAAAATTGGACCTACATATTTAATCAGCAAAAATCGAGAGAGTCTTAATCTTCTGTCTAAATTCGGCTACAGAATCTAGTTTTGAGTACAAAATATTCTTCAATTTTCAAATTAATGCAAGCCAAAAAATCTTTATATTTCTATTGTCATAAATAAAAAGGCATAAGACAAGGAAACGTATACTATTCATAATATTTACAGTTAAGAAAACTTAAACGCTTTTCCTTTCCATAATTTAAAAATCAGGAACTCTAAAATATATTCGCTACTAAAACTAACTAAAACTAAGGAAAAGTTTTAGAAATCTTTCAATTCAAGCAAAAATCTTTTTTACAAAATTCTGGATACTAAAACATTGGAATAAAAAAAAATTAATACACAAATGTACATTGCATGAAATATATTAGAAATCTTCTCAAAAAATATTACAACTTTCCAACAAGTCAACGAGCAGTTCAAGCTTCAGCTAAACACTTTCAACATGTAGACCTCGTTCAGTTCCTTTCAATTCTTAGCAGACCTTTCCTCATGTTCCCAACCCCTTTTATTTTCCCCTCACCATAGCGTACAGCGACATCGCTGGCTCTGGTGCTGCTCCTGGCCACCAGCTACGCCCAGGCTGGCGAGGAGAAGAGCGAGGCTGCCGAGAAAACAGCAGCTGAGCCGTCAGAGAAAAAGGCTGAGGAATCAGCAGCAGCCGCTGATGATACCACCAAATCGAAACGTGGCCTGCATCATTATGAGGATTACCATCATCATCATGTGCCGCACTTCCCGGTGCATGAGGAGAAGACTCTCACCGTGATCAAGAAGGTGCCAGCGCCATATCCCGTCGAAAAGATTGTCCATGTGCCAGTGGAGAAGCACGTTCATGTGCCCGTCAAAGTCAAGGTGCCCAAGCCATATCCCGTTATCAAGCACGTGCCCTATGAGGTTAAGGAGATCGTGAAGGTGCCCTACGAAGTGCCAGCGCCATATCCCGTCGAAAAGAAGATACCCTACCCCGTCCATGTGCCCTACGATCGTCCAGTGCCCGTCAAGGTATTGCAGTTGGCTGCTAACTAGACTTTTAGAGATAGTCTAAAGACCGTTCTATAACTCCCCTCTAGGTACATGTGCCCGCACCCTACCCCGTTGAGAAGAAGGTTCATGTGCCAGTCAAGGTACATGTGCCCGCTCCCTACCCCGTCGAAAAGATCGTCCACTACAAGGTAGAGAAGCACGTGCCTGTCGAGAAGCCGTACCCCGTCGAAAAGGTCGTCCACTACCCAGTCAAGGTGCCCGTTGAGAAGCCCGTGCCCCACTATGTGGACAAGCCAGTGCCCCACTATGTGGACAAACCAGTGCCAGTGCCCGTGATCAAGAAGGTGCCAGTGCCCGTCCATGTGCCCTATGATCGTCCCGTGCCCGTTCATGTTGAGAAGCCAGTGCCCTATGAGGTGAAAGTACATGTGCCCGCACCCTACCCAGTGATCAAGGAAGTGCCCGTTAAGGTTGAGAAACACGTTCCGTACCCCGTCAAGGTGCCCGTGGAGAAGCCCGTTCATGTTCACATTGAGAAGCATGTGCCCGAGTACCATGAGAAGCACGTCAGCTACAAGGAGCCCGAGTTTGTGCACAAGCACATCGAGGAGGATCATCATTATCATCATCAGGAACAGCATCATGAGCCCATCCATCATTCATCATATTCGGCACCCATTGAGGAGCATCATCATGAAGAGCATGAGGTGCAGCATGATTTTAATGACTATCATGATTTTCATTCATATCACGGTTACTAAAATTGGTGAAATGAACATTTTTCTCTTTTCTCTCTCTCTCTCTCTCTTTTTCACTCTCTTTGCAGCATTGAGAATATCGGTTATGAACGGTAACGGTTATGAGAATGGATATATAGCTAAACTGAACAAAAAAAAAAAAAGAAAAACTAAACTAAAAACATTCACAAACATTCAGTAACAATCCAAAACAAAGTTCTTCCATATCATATACCCAAATGCCCAACATTCCAATTCCACAATTGCTATATAGAACGTGATAACGATAGAGATTCTTTGCAACCCTAAAATTTACAATGTGAACAAAATGTGACACGAAACGAACTTACTTAGATATTATGAACGAACCTTAGCTTAAGCCATAAAAACAAAAGGAAAACCCAAGAAACGTTGACGAAACTATCCCGTGAGATCTGTTATGAGAAATTTTGAAGACGATTAGACTTAGACTATAAGAAACAAAACAAAAAGATACAACACATTTGGGCTCGCCCCCAAACACATCCACTCAGAACAACGACTAAGAGAAAGTTAATGAAACTAGACCCTAAAACAACAACCACAACAACACATACACCACATATAACAACCTCTCATCAGGATCGTATATATATTGGATGTGTTGTTGGACTTGGCTGTCACTCTCTCTCTCACTCGATCGCGAATGATATAACTGGGTACAACATCTGACGATGTGGTTGCTGCTGCTGTTTTTGTCCTCCAGCTGCGGCTACTCCTCCTTCTGCTCTGGTCCATCCGAACTGTGCACCCGGTTCTGTTCGACTCGATATGATATTTGAGATCTGATAAGCGTGTGATAAGACTTCTGTTATAGTGTTTAAGTGTTTACTCTAGCTATGCATATTAATATACTCGTATATATATAATATCTATATATAAAGGATAGTTAAGGCAGGCAGGCAGCCGTGCAGTCGCCTAATTAAGTCAGTTTGTAAACGAACGTATTGTATTATTTTTATAATATTTTTTGCTATATAGTTTTTAATGCAACCTAAACAACCACTATCTATAGTTTTGCTAAATGTAAAAAGCTGTCGAAACCGATTTATAAAAAGTACTTAATTTACCAAATACTATTTTTTGTCTCTGTAAAAACAAATACACAACCGACCATCAACAACAACAAAAAATCAATGAAGCTGATGAATATGTTAACAATAAAAAACGAGAAGAATCAAGTGATCAAAACTAAAACAAAAACGTTGTTTTCTTTCATATTAAAAAATTAAAAAAAAAAATAAATAAATAAATAAATAAAA